ATATCTTTATTAAGCTTACGAAGCATGAAATGAAATATTAACCAGGATCTAACGCTACTTTAAACTCGCATTGACAAACATTTATAGTGATCTAAGTAGAACTGTCTCAAGACTTCGTAATTGGAACTCCTGATCACTAGAGACGTATAGATGTATAGATCAGATGTTTAAGGCCAGCGCCATTTTGTATTAATTTCGTTAAACCATCGATTCGGCATCGTTCCCCATTAAATTATCGGAAAAGCAGTAACTGTCGAAGCAATAATAATAGTACTAACAAAGTTCAAATGGAATTTAGCTTAAGTGTAGATGGGCGGGTAACTTGAAACGCGTCAGGTTGTTATATGGATATAGAACCTTTCTCTAAATACTTTGGTCCATACAGTATTCTGTTTGTAGAAATATAAACATCTTTGTTAACATATTAAAATTGCCCAGACTTTCCCCAACGTACGCAAATCGTTTGCCTTAGGCTGTAACATAGCGTACGGCTAACTGCTGGCTAAATATAGCATATAAAATATTTACTTTACGACGAGATACATCAGACTCTAGAGCAGCGTCGTTGTTCTATGGCACCCCAAAGGACCAGGCTGGTTGGTGTATATTTTCTGGAACTTAGCAAAAAGTGACAAATGTGTACCAAGAAGAGTGGAAAGACGACGTTTCCCAAAAGAATAGCTACAGGAATCGTGTTTCTTCAATCTTTCAGTTATAACGCTTCTATCAAAATATAACTATCGTTTTTGTGTCGCGGCATTACTCAGGATTACATAAGGAAGCTAAATGATGAAGCCCTGAAAGCCAAAGCTCACTTTTTGTCGATATATATATCAATAAAATAAAAAAATATTTTGTCCATATATTTATGCCCATTTTTTTCTAATTTGTCAAGATATAAACATGGCTGATTTTCGCGATCTAATTCAGGCTTGAAGACACGTTTGAGTTCTTGTTAGTGTTTAGCACAACTTTTATATACCGTTATAAACCGGTTTCAAATGGTTCGTAATAAAATAATATTCCTGCCACCGAGTTTGAAGCGAATAGATCTAACATGAAGAATAAATAACATAACTGAAATAGTGCAACTAACTACGTTAAAACCACTGGTCTCAAAGATCGATACAAACGAATGCCGCCAGATAAACATAACGTGGATGCTAGTTAGTTACCGGCAATGGGCGGAATGTTGATGGTCTGGTATCTTTATTGCTTAATGTATGCCTACACCGTATTATAATTAACAGACGGAAATGTTTTTCTTAGCACTCTCTGTCTAGGTAACGTACGTATATATCCGTTCAGCTAAGCTTTTTTTTCAAGTAAACGTTTTATAAAATATCATCGACGTATGTTATGGCAAGGGTTCTTCAAGCCGTACAAAAATGGAAAACGCCACTTTATCGTTAATCAAGCGACACTTTGTCTTACTAATGAATTGTGCGCACAAGCAGATCTGACCACCTGGCCTAACAGCGATTTCTTAATAAAAGCGAACGCATTTTGATCAGATTTGTTGAGGAGCCTGACTCTTGAGGACGAAGAGAGATACTGGGTTTGAATCCTGACGATTTCTCGATTGATGTCCTGACTGTTCTGTTGTCTTTATCCATTTCAATCTTCTACCTCCCCTATAGCACGAAAGAATTGTCAGCACTGAAATACCGAACCGTAACAAGGTTCGGACCCTAGATCGGGTCCGACTAATTCATATCAGTCTACACACCACGCGACGTATTGCTGATCAACAGCTTCGCAATGTTCGATTGGCTAGCCAGCTAAAATCTATGCTTATTTTGAACTTAAACGAAGAACCGCAATTCCCCTCTTCTTGGATCTGACATGGCCAGCCTTCGTATAATCGGCCTGGGCTAAACCAGCTTTAGAAAGCAAAGACTTAGCTGCAAAGAGCTTCACAGAGCCAAGTTTCGCCACGCCGAGCATAGCCTTGATGAGTCTATGTTTTGAGAAGGCTAATCTTGGTCATTTTCGCCTTTGCGACAAGCCCTGCCGCCAAAAGAAGGGGCGCCACGAGAACCTCGCCCGGAAAACAGATTGTAACAACGACGCGAAGGGTTCTCGTAACGAACTGCATCTTTACGAGGATTGTTGCGATTCACGAGGATTTGCTGATGAACTTGAATAACGGCGACCTGCAGAGGACGGAATAGGTTAACATTGAGATGCTCCCACAGGAACAGTAGAGTCTGGACTGTTAACTATTGAACCCAACGACTGCGTTTATATATGCACGTCTCCCGTTAGAGGGCATGAACAGAAGAGGGTATGCGGACTTAACATTAGCTTATTTTTACCTTTCCCGAAACGAAAACAAACAAACCACGCACTCGTTGTGATACTTCTCTAGATTACAGACGGAGAACGCATGGGGAAGCCCATGCTGACTGGGTCAAGGGCTTTTGCTGCATCGGGTCTGTGTCGCTCTAACACTGAAGATGAGCGTGTAGAGGTCACTATTCATTATACCCGCAGCGCATCGCACTACAGGCACGAGTTACTTTCGTCGTATGCGACAGGTCTGTTACTGTAAGAGAAGCGTCAGAAATTCGTTGATGAAAAATGTCGGGAGAAACGCCTCTAACACCCACATCTGCTATGCTTACATAAAACATTACAAACGCTTAGAGTACAAAACCGGGTTAGTTATTCAATGTACTCTTTTCTTAATAGCCTAAAGCATATATACATACTATATCAATAAAGTTAGATATTGCAAGGAGAATGTCAACATGACTTAGGTTAGTTAAAAGGTCATTCCGTTTGTTCTCGGTGTTTCTTAGTCAATGCTACCGGCTACTGATTTTCACATGTCACGCTGAAACTATAGCAATGGCTAAGTTCATATATGCTTATGCTGAGTTTTGCGAAACTCATATTTGCATTAGTGCATAATTGTTAACGGGGTTCTCTAAAATTTCAGTTATCGATTTACTCGTGCTCTCGCGTCTGGGAATTTACGACCGATATAAGGCTTGATCAGTGCACCTTCTTCTATTTTCTGTCATGTTTTTGCAGTTTTAGGAAGGCAAAAGTAATCACGAAGATACCCTATACTGATATTCAAATTTCAATTGGCGCGTCAGTTGATGCGAACGAATCTCTCATTTAGGTGGTTCACTCGGCCATATCGATTGCCGATAAAGTCGAAGATAGCTGCATTTAGTTTTATGCTTCCGTCATAAAAACATCACAAAATGGTTATTAACACCCGCGGACATGAGGTCTGGTGTTCTGAATTTACAGTCGTAGGGGTACGTAAGCCAAAAATATATGAACATCAAAATAGAAAAAGATGAATATTTCTCTACAGAATTTCTTTTAAAGCAACTTCCTGCCAGTAGCATCGCCAGTGGATTTGTCTTGCTTTCAGTGCTTACGATAATATGAATGTATTCGATAAGCAGTGACACTCGATAGTCAAATGAGATCATTATGTTACCGTTCGCTGAAGAAACTGAAACAAAAGGAAACAGGTCTAGGGAGGGTTGTTTTATGCATTGTTTCACAAAAAACGATTGAAAACGAAATCAGCCTTCAGACTAACTTGTTCGTATATGACTCACTTTACAGGCATCATTTTTGACTATTTGCTAGACAGTGACCGTCACAAGAACATCTGGAGCACTGAGAAGCATTCTCATCAGGAGAAGGATAATTTTTATTAACATGTGATTTCACAAGAACATTTCATCATTCATGTCACTGCTGCCTCAATTCGATACGCATATTACGGGATCACGAATTATCAAAACGTAGAATTTGTTTGACAGATTAGCAGCGTGTTTGCCGTCAACTCGTGTGTAGTGGTGCAGGTTCGAAACCGGATGTAGGCGTGCGTCGTTTTCTGCTTGCAGGAGCCACCCGTATAAAGCAACACTTAACGACTCAAGTACCAACCGTAAAGCTGGAAACATTTGGTTCTTAACGGGGTTCCTTTCACATAACTAGTTTTAGAAGTCAGATAAACACTTAGCCTATTTTCTATGTATTTGATCTTAAGTATGTCTTACAAGCAGACAACTTCGCGTATCGATCTCATATTGTGTAAACTTAATGAACATTTTATGGAAAATACTCATCACATTTATATAAAAAATGAGCACGAAAATTTCACTTATGAATATGAGTGAAATGTTGATGATTTCGCTTGTTATGACATTTCTAGTATATTTTCTTATGCTACAGGAGTTCCTTCGTCATATAAACTTTTTGTCTTAGAGTTTTCTTCTTATTTGACACAAAAGTCCCTGTTTATAAGACATCACAGTTAATGCCATTGCCATTGCCATCACATATGATGTGGCACGCAAACATAAACTTGTGTATAATATGTATAGAGTGAAGATAATGCCAATAAGTTGACTTAAAAGCATTTTATTTAGTATGAGCTCACGATACTAAATACGGAGTATCCGGCACTGTTTAATTTTTGTGCACCGATAGATGTCTTTTGTCCTGGGTGATCCGCAAAAAAAACGAGGATTTAAAGGAGGAAAAAAAAACAGTTCGAAAGCGGAATTTTAATCACAAATGTTAGAGATCCTTTATAAATTACTGGCATAATTAATATTCGCACCTGCGTTCGCTAACAGATTAGAGTGTGATGTATTCATCAGATATATCGTTTGTTATTCGAATATGTGTTCTAACGTGTATGTCACAAATAGCTCGTTCAATGGGCAGTCCATATTCCTGACACCACTTGTTTTAAGACTTTTTCGAATTTCGGAGTTTTAACAATGAACCGAAACATTTGTAGTCCAAAATAATTTACTTATGAGATCTTGCTGCTGTGTTAGCTCTTGTTTACTGCAAAGAGCCTGCAAAATAGAGAAAAATAGATTGAAGAAGGCGTGACGGCAGATGTGGATGTAAGCGTTTATAAATTACAGTAAGAGGTACTGATAGAAAAGTATATAATAATATAAACCCTTTACTTGGAAATCAGGTTTAAAGTAACTATTTCTTCTACCACTAACCGCCAATGAACCTCTTCCATAATCAACATTATATTAGCAGCGTATTTTTTTGTCAATACTACAAATACACTTCTACTCATTTGCTAAACCCTAAAAAATATGCATGGATCAGTCTTAGTAGATGAAATGTATTTATTTAGTAAGTAGCTAGTCCGAATTTTTCCGGTGAATTCAATTTACTTCCTTTAATCTGTCCCCCTTTCCTCATGTAATGCTGCATCTCACAATAGTTTTGGGAAATCGAACATTGTCGCGACTCAATTTGAAGGCGCATCTCATTCAAAGTCGTCAGGAGTGTCCTTGTTGCGGGCAAAATAGATGAGGTCCTTCAAGAAGACAGTAAAAAAGTATCGCTACAAAATGCACTCACAAAAAGCAAGTTAATGGGATGAAACTTTCAAACTTTATAATACGCAAATCAGTGACGTATGGAAAGAAGTAGACAATTGTTTATCAAAAGCTGTTTCGTTCTCAGAATCTTCTATAAGCATAATGCGGATGCAGATACCTTATTGCCAGAATAAGTGTTCTACCTTTAAAACAGACCGCATAGCACAAAATACGTGATACTTTTATATGTACGCATAGTTAAATCACTATTAAAATTCTTTGATAACATCTGAGTATTCATAATATGGCTCTAGTCCAGATCCAGATAACCGCGAGGCCGCAATAGCTATCGGAGTCGATTTTATTATCCTAATTATAATTTGCCGTTCTTTGATAAGGATATTGTATCTCTTTGGTGCTGTGTTCAATTAAAACAGTACAACTTTGTAAGTATATTTAGAGGTCTACACCAGATCCTGCCATTCTCATTAGAATTTAGTAATCCATGTGGGTGCTAAGAGTATCATCTAAAATCTATAATCTAACGGCTTAGGTGGGTACCCTTCTACGTCTATTAAACAATGAGAATCGGTTAAGCTTTGCTCTTGAATCATTTTTTATATTAAAATATTGTTGTCAATATTTCTTTCAATAGGCTCTAGTTTACGAAGAGGTCGTTGTGCGTCCTTTAAGTTAGGCATTTCACAAACTATAAATGAGAGCCAATCACTTAACTACAATCGATAGCTCATTGCGCGAGCATAGTAAAGGCCCCTCACAGGTGTCAAATGGAAAATCGAACGGCAGGACCTCACCCATATAGGTAGTGTTAGTCTCGGAGTAGTTCGACGTTCCGCTGATTAGCTCCGAGCACTTCCAAGAATTTTCTTTTCAATACTCACATCCCAACGTTTAACGAAGTAAATGTTCGAATCAAGTTGAAGCTTAAACATTTACAGCACTTTCATTAGCTTGAAGGGAGTGCATTGTCTGCGGTTACCTCCATTGTGTATGTGCTTCACAAACAGATGTGCCTCTCTTTGTAGAATAGAGAGGTAAATTGTTTTCGCAAGTACTCGGTCTGTGGAGGCTGTTGTTATATAAAGTTTTTCAACGACTGTATGTAATAACCTTGAGTGCTGTTATAGAATATAGGCTTTTGATTGCCGTGTTTATTTAAGGTGTAGTATTTATCAGTGTATACAGATAAATCAGTCTGTGGTATTAGTAGTACTTAGTGAAGTTCAATTTATACTCAGTGTACGACATTTCTACGAAATAAAAACGAATTCATATGAATTGTTTTTCCAAGAAAAAGCTGTACCTCTTTGTATATAATTATAAATAGTACCATTTAATTATTCTGCGCCATTGATCTGTCGTGACTAGTTTATTAAAGGGCGATACTTATCATGCCGCTCATCGTTGTAACCGGCTATCCTTCGTGCGGGAAATCGACCAGAGCGAAACAGCTTGAAAATTTTTTTCAGAATAAATACCCGGACAAAAAGGTAGGATTTTCACAGTACGCGGTATTTTGATTTTATTGAGCTTATTTTGAAAGTGACACCTGCGAATTAGATAAGACATGTTTAGATGCAAATATAGAATTCTATAACAGTAGAAGATATGTAGTAGGAAATATCTACTGAGTAAATTTGAAGTTGGGTGAAATCTCAATTATGCTTATTGCATGCTATTTACAAAGCATTTAGATAAAAAACAATTAATACATTCTTAGCAAGGAAAATGTGTAATTAAGTTAGTACTTGTCAATCAAACATAAATAAGTAACTGGTATTATTATTATTATTATTATAAAAACCAAACGGCGCCGCTTTATAGGTTCAGTATGTTATACAAGCATATAAAAAAGATCCCGACGAATTTTATGAAACACATTATCATTCGAAAACTGCAGCCTATCCTTATTTGTGTTGTTGTTATTATTTAATGATAACAGCCGCTTTTGTGCAGGTGAAAATGATTAATGGAGATGAAGGCCTGGACCGAAATAGCACGTTTGCCGACTCTCGGTTAGAAAAAGAACTCCGAGCAAAACTGTTGGCTGAGGTTCAGCGAGAACTCGGGCGGGACAGCCTCATAATTCTGGATGCACACAATTATATCAAGGGATATCGGTAGGTGTATATGCGTATTCAAAGAAATCTTGCATTGCACTAAAGGGAGCGAGATTATAAATTTAATATATATATATATATATATATATATATTTTTTTTTTTTTTCAGGACTTTGTTAACTTAGTAGACTTTTGCAGCCGATGCAATTGCTAAAGGGACGTGTACTTAATTGCGTAGAGCCTTATATTGTACCGATGCTATGTGCTAAAAAGCGAATTTGATTTTTTTGGCGAAAAGAATTAGTGTTTATTGTTGATATATTAATTAACGCTTCAGGCATTTAGAATATTTCAAAAAGCAGCTAATGTATATATATTGTAGACCTAATGAACGGTTCTTTATTAAAACAAAGTTATTAAGCTGTTTTCTACAGTGTTCTAAACCTCTGAAGTATTAATTTATATATAAACAATAAAGACTAATTTTTCTTTGTCTAAAAAATCAGCCTCACTTCCTAGTATAGAGCAGCTGTATAATATGGAGCTCTACCCAATTTGGATTACTTTAGCAATCCTATCGGGTACAAAAATCTAATAAGTGAATGAAGATCTAAAAATTATTTCCATTTCCCTAATATAGTATAATAACATTGTATTTTGAAAACTATTCTGTCAGTTACTATACATAAGGCTGTATAATACGAATTGTAGAGGGCGCTGTGACACCGACAAATAATAATAGTAATATTGTTTCCTTCGTTCGCGTTTTTTATTTGGAAAATTTCTAGTTACGAGTTGTATTGTCTGTCTAAATCGGTTAAAACAACACAGTGCACTTTATATCTCCCTGTGAATGTCGACGTCGCGTGGAAGTGGAATTGTTCAAGGCCGGAGGAGGATAGATACTCGAGAGAGATATTCGATGCACTAATTCTCAGGTTCGGCTGCTGCTATATGGTTTGGTTCTCATGTTATTTTTGCTTTGATCGTAATGCTCCACGTAAATGACTCGGCGATCAAGTGTTATCTTTATGGTTCGCCGATTTAGTATAAGAATCAAGGGTTTTCGCATATTGTAGAAAATCGCCATTTATTGCACACAGGCCTAATAAACATTTGAAGTACAAAAGCCAGATCCATTTTTCTCATATGGTAAATGTGTTTAGTGCATTACAATAAGAGCTGCTTATTAATTTATTTAAATAACTTCGCTAATTTAATTTTCGACGTGTTTTCCAAATAAAGTGTTATCTATAACAAAGCTCTTAGTAACTTAGTGATAAGTATCTTTGATAGTTGAGCTAAGGCTTTCCTTTATTTCTATAGGTACGAAGAGCCTGATTCAAAAAACCGTTGGGATTCTCCACTAGTAACGATCCATGAAGGCAACGAGATCCTGTTTCAGGATGTCGACGCTGCCTTATTTCAAAGGAAGGCCCCGACACCAAATCAGGCTACCCAATCAGTGAGTAAGCTAGGGCAATTCTTATTTCTCTTGTACACCGCATTGCTATCGTGGCATATTTGCGTTTCTATTTGAACAAACGTTGCTAAGTTGCTGTAACAATGAAAGCCCTGAGGGCAGGCGAACTGTCGAGAGGTTTATACATTCTTTATGATGACTCGAGTCTAAAACTGAAAATTGAAAATTTCAAGAATATTGTTGCGACTGCAGTTTGTACGGCTATTTCATCCTATTTATCGCAACGTGTAAATTATTTTCAGGATCCGGTATTATCAACGAACTTCCTGTATGATCTCGATAGACTGACACAGGAAATCATAGAGGAGGTGTTAAAAAATCCAATTGAGTTTGGTATCCGTCGAGTGACCTTGCCTGAACTATCGAGATTACGGAGACAATTTATCAACTACGTAAAACAGAATCCAATTGAAGATACAAACAAGATTAGACCCCTCTTCGAGAATTACATACGGAATATTACGATATAGATTCGTTGTGGCACTAACAATAGCCCCTATATGTTGTTGTAAGATGCTTTCGAGAGCCGCGTTGTATACATTCATACGAGAAACTTATGTAAATACAATAGTTTTGGAAGTATAATAAAAAAAAAAACTGTTTGTTACTCCTTGGCGGTCGTTTGTATTTACTACCACTAGGGAGATTAGTTGTTACGTAATTTGGCATTATCAGTGGCATGATTATTCTAAATGAAAGTTCGTTTTGCCATGAGTGAACAGCTTGAAATTAATGGAGTATCTCCTTTCAGGCAAGGCAGTCGCCTCCGGTGTCGTTCCAATATTTCTGGTAGTTGGTAGGACAAACTTGCGCGACAATAAAGAAGTGCCTAAAAACCACCTGTATGTAGACTATAATTAATCGCCACTTGTACACGCGCAACCGTAGAAAGTAGAAAAGAAATAAGCTCAATCGACGTATTTATACTATCTACCAAAACAACACTTGTTAATCGTCCTGAAATTAATTGGTGTTTGTGTGCTTATATTATAGACGAGGTCATTGAAATCGTTGAAGATCAAGAGGAGTCTGCGGAGATAACTCCAGTGGTAAATAACAAACTGAAACAAAAGTGTCAAGAAGAGATACAGGACTCGGGGAAATATGCGCATAACGAGGCCGAAATTGAAAATACAGAAGAGGTTGCATCTTTAAAGTATCAGAAAGATATGGAAAAAAGGTCGCTACTCTCAACCCAAGAAGCTGAAAATAATTCCAGTGAAGACAGTGCGGCAGCTGCTGAAAAAACGACTTGTGACTTTAGTGAATCGAAACAACCACAAAATAAAGTCAATGAGGAATTTGTCGAAAAGAGTACTGTCAACCCTAATTGTCCATCTGATGCAAATGAACTAAGTAGTGAATCCAAAGGAATACAACAGAGTAGCATCGGCGAGCCTCAACAGTGCACAGAACCGAAAAATATGGCCCCCGTAAGTGAGGAAACCGCTATATCATTCAATGATATTATAAGCCAGATGCCTTTAGGTAAGGAAACGGACCGTGACAAACATGTTGAACATGCTACTGAAATTCCAGTGGACATCCAAGAGGCCCAGTTCCTCATACAGAAGGCCAATGAGAACAATCCGGGAGCATCGCGTTCAATGGAGTCTCTCGAGGATGCATTGCAGATGGCTGCCGCATCAATTGAACAGCAGGCTGAAGAAGGCAAACAACTTAAGCGCAAGGAGGCGCGAGAGAGACGCCGGGAAAGACGCGGTCAAAAGAAGAATAAACTTTTAGAAACACCTGTTGAATATCTTATGCAAGAACAGCAAGTTGAAGAGGCTTTAGCAGAACACGATCCTGATATAATACTTGACGAAGTTGCCCCTGAAGAGCTACCAAAGGAGCTTCGGAAAGCTATCCGACGTAGGTCAGGAAAGAAGCGGTCTCTGAAACGTAAAAGAATGGCCACTAGGCGCAGTTCCGAGCATTCACCTTCTTTAAAAAGGCTCAAGGCTAGTCCTAAAAAAAGTCCCGACGTCGAAAAGCGTGTGAGACGCAGCAAGGAAAAACAGTCACCAAAAACTAAACAAAGGGCAAACATAGGCTCATTGAAAGTGCAACTTCATGGACAAGTTCTGAACAAGAGGAGGCGGAAACCTGAAAAGGAGGCAGAGATTGTCATCGAGGCAGTATCAGACCACGGCTCAACTGCTGCCGAGGAACGCGATACGCCCACACCAAAAATCCTTACAGCCAAAAGGTTAATTGAATGCCGGCCTGAACCTAATCGTCTGCATGTCGCAGCGACGCCAGGCGTGTACGCAATCAAGAAGCGAGGATCGTGGCTCATGTGCGGATTGTGTCCCTTTCGATCGAAAGAAGCTGCTGATATTAGCTTGCATCTTCGACAGTTTGATTTCTATGATATGCGATGTCCGAAGTGTCAGCACGTCGTTACCCGTACGCACCGTGGACCCGATAATAAGATTCTCAGCTGTCTGCACTGCGATTACCGAAACGGAGATCACTTAGAAATACGACAAACTCCTCAACCGCATGTGCAGTTGGAACCAACAGTTTTAATCGGTACTACACCACCATCCCCACCAAAGGAAGATATTGTAGCGATTGCAGCGAAGATGATTCTTGAAGATGACGAAGAGGAACCCCAAATCATCTCAGAAATAACGGATGAATCTGGCCATCCCGTGCGAGTCCTAAGTGTGGAACGTGATCTCGAGGAGTTAGTTAAGGCTGGGGTGGTCACGCTATGTAATGATGGAGTGTCGGGTAATCTAGCACAAGTGAATATCACCACACAAGCAACTGATGTCGTTCACATCGATGTGCCTTCATCACAGATAGAAACCCACATCGATTCCGCCCGAAAAGTGGGTTCCACTAGGACGACGAATGTTAGTCCGAAAAAGGTGCCATCAATACTAAGGCGAAGAAAAAAGCCATCCGGTAAACAATAGTTGGTACGCATAATGCCTTCTAAATAACGTTTGGCTTAATGACGAAACCGCTATTAAGACCGTTGGTTTCCCAATAATGAATTTGTTGAGAGTCAATGCGATAAAGCTGGGACATGATTCGCTGTAGTACTCGCATCAGTGTCCGCAACAGTACTAGCATCGCTAGGTAAATTAACCTGTCTAGATATAAGGTGCAGCTGTTTAACTTACGACTGTCGAATAATTGGACGAGGCTGATGAGAAAACAATAAACATGTAGAATTTCTCTAACATAAATTGACACTTTTATACGTATCATAACATATACTGTTCAGATGAGATTTGTCGTAACGTTGCAGTATTACTAGAGCACTACTCTATTCCTTAATGTAATTGAATTTACTTTTGTTGCTACAAAATTATTGATTTCTACTTACCTACATATATTTCACATTTTTGTACATGTAACTTTCGTTACCGTAGCCCTTATTAAATCTGTTCCTTTTTCAGCCTACGTTCATACTTTGCTAAACGGAGTAACGTGGTGTGACACATTATTGTCATGCCAACCCTTTTGTTTCAGAGATTTTTGTGGATCAAGTCAGCCAAAGGAACTTACCCTATAACGCCTCGGGAACCGAGTCGACATATCACGTCAGCCGAGGTTTTAGACCTAGGACATTCTGATGTAAGCTGGTCGTCGGCTGACGTGTTAGTGAAGCTCGTAGTTCGAGTCGGTTTTTGGTGGACAAATAGTTTTGTAAACTTGTAAAAAAAATATATATGTAACTAAATACATTATTAACATTTGTTTCACATCGTACTTGTCCTTCGCCGCGATGTTATAATTAGGTGGCATATGTTGTGTCGTTGCTTCATCAGTGTATGCAGGGAATTATTTTTTTTACTTGCGATTTGTGCTTTTAGGCGATCAACTACATTACATCGAAAATTTAGTCCAATGTGCATTTGTGGTTGTCTATACATTTTAGGTTTTCTTGAAGATTCATAAATCTATCTAGAATATAAGACCTTATTTATTAAACTGACTAAATTAATAAACAGCTAAATTCATGACTTGTTGTTGTTGTTGTTCTGAAATTTTTCGTCTATGAAACTGCATATATATTCCAACTTGTAATCATATATACGTATAATCGGTCTCCTAAACATATAATAAGAATAGTTAATGTACCTACGCGTTAGACTCAAACTCAGTCAAATAGCTCCAAAATTCAGGGCCGATTGCACAACACCAAGCAGAATATTTTTAAACTGTTTCTAGCTTGTGAAAGCGCTGCTGTTCTACTTTACACTGGTACTCCACTATATGCCGATAAAGAATCGGAAACAAACATTTCCAAACCGCTGCCAACCAATGTGAGATCGTGGCTGGTATCAATCTTTGTAGAATCGCTTGTTGCCCTGACAACTGCCGCCGCACCTTGTGGCATGCCTCTGATGCAGTTTTTCGCTGTTTCAATTATGGGTGGATCCTGTTACCTCACATTAGTGATTTCTTCGCGGGGATCTGGAATGCCTGCTATTTCCCATCTTTACTGAACCAGTAGTTTATTTTCCAGACGTTTTTTGCGGGATTAAGGTCTACTAAATTAGCAGGCCATGTTAGCGCTTGAGCCTCATTGGCACCGAGTAGCATAACGACGGTCCAAGTTCTATGATAGGGCGCCCGATCGTGCATCAAAACCTTTGATGGATGTTTGATTTTCAGCAAAACTTCCGGAAAATCGTTTATCAGTACATCTGAATTTTTAAAGGGACGCTTTTTCTAGAGAGTCTCAAATTGATTCTCATCCATGAAACAGAATTTTTTTCTTCGGTTCTCAGCTATACAATATGGTTTACCCAACAAAACAAAGGTTTGTTTCATTCGAGCACTGAACCAAAATTCCTTGGCGGATCTATTCCTCTTAAATCTAGTCTTTGAGTCGGCAGCGAAGTATAATTTCCGACACGTTTTTTTAATCTGCCCTGGCAGATGCTATAAAAAACAACCCTATTTTTTGGAATCCGTCCATGGTCATACGGTCCTCCGGCTTCATCGTATACTTTCATCAGTTTTCATACCAATTTTACGTGACAACAGCGCAAGCCTTTCCTTAGATTTGTCGCAGCGACAGTAATTGCATGCTAGGAAATATGAAAGATTTCAGCAGTTTGATGTTGTGGACGTTTATTTCCACGAATCGGTGCTTTCCATCTCTCATTTTGATATAGAAACAAACCGAAATCACCAGAAAATGTTCAGACTTACTTAGATAGAACAATCTAGTTTCTCAGTGCTGTTGGACGGCACAATAGAACGTGCCGATTAATACGAGAGATTAGCACGAACTATGACATTCGGATCCATTGAAATTCGGCTACAGTAAGCTAATGCCGCTGGGATGCGACATGTCTTATTATATAGTTTATTTTTATTGAAATTGTTTCGGTTTATCTGATTGAAAACCGATTTAATTGTTATCACTGTTATTGTTATTCGAAGCTGTATATAATGTTATTTGAATAGATACATTCGTGAACGATTAGTAATAAGCAAATAAATAGGTGTTCTATGCTTGAAAAACGTTTAAATAGATATGCCCGCAATAATCATAATGGGAATAATAGATGTTCTCAGTTAACTGATCTGCAACAATGTTGAGCATACACCTGTCGAATCGTCGAATATGAAACCGTGG